ATTAAGGCCTTAACTACAAAGAAGAGCCCAGGCCCGGATGGATTCATTGAGAATTGAATTCTAAAAGAAATACAAAGACTTAATGCTGACACTCCTCAAACTCTTCACTGAAACTGAAAGGAAATCAATCCTTCCTAAGTCATTCCCAGAAGCAAATATTACTGTAGTGCCAAAACCTGACAAAGATCCAACTAAAAAAAGAGAACTACAGGCCAATCTCCCTAATGAACACAGATGCAAAAATTTTCAAAAATATTGGCAAATAGGATGCAGCAAATCATCAAGAAGATTATACACCATAACCAAGTGGGGTTCATCCCAGGCATGCAGGGATGGTTCAACATACATAAATCGATAAATGTAATCCACCATATCCATAAAGCCAAAAGTAAGAATCACATAATCATTTCTATAGATGCAGAAAAAGCTTTTGATAAGGTTCAACATTTATTTATGATAAGAACCTTACAGAAAATTGGAATAGATGGTCTTTACCTCAATATAATAAATGCTGTCTATGACAAACCAACAGCCAGTATCATACTAAATGTCCAAAAATTGAAGGCCTTTACCTTAAAATCAGGCACAAGACAAGGATGTTCCTTATTACCACTCCTATTCAACATAGTGCTGGAAATCCTAGGCAGAGAAATTAGACAAAAGAGAGAAATAAAAGGGGTAAAGATAGGAAGAGAGGAAGTTAAATTATCATTATTTGCAGATGACATGATACTCTACATAGAAGACCCCCAAAACTCCATTTAAAGGTTCTTAGACATAATAAATAAACTCCAGGAATGTAGCTGGATACAAAATCAATACTCAAAAATGAATAGCATTCCTATACACTAACAACAAGTTCACAGAGAGAGAAATAAGAGAATCCACACTAGCAACCAAAAAAATGAAATATTTAGGAATTACTCTCATGAAAGTAGTGAAAGACCTATACAGAGAAAATTATAATATACTGAAAGAAGAAACTGAAGACAATCTCAGAAAATGGAAAGCCATTCCTTGCTCATGGATAGAAAGAATAAATATTGTGAAAATGTCTATTCTCCCAAAACTGTTATAAAAATTCAATGCAATCCCAATAAAAATACCATCAACATACCTCATACATCTTGAGAAATCACTCCTAAAATTCCTCTGGAGCAAGAAGAGACTTAGAATAGCAAAGACAATTCTAAGCAACAAAGGCAAGGCAGGAGGCATCACAATTCCTGACTTGAAGTTATACTACAAAGCAACCGTACTAAAATCAACATGGTACTGGAATCAAAACAGAGCAGAGGATCAATGGACTAGATTAGAAGATACAACCACAACTACAAACACACTCAACCACCTTATCTTTGATAAAGGGGCGAAACATGTTCACTGGAAGAATGACAGTCTCTTTAATAAATGGTGTTGGAAAAACTGGCTCTCCATATGCCGAAAACTAAAACTAGACCCATGCCTATCACCATGTAATAAATTAAAATGTAAATGCATCAAAGATTTGAATATTAAAACAGAAAAACTAAATCTATTGGAAGATAAATTGGGTAAGAACCTTGAAAACATAGGGGTAGGTAGAGATTCATGAACAGGACTCAAACCACACGGTAAATACTTCCCAGAATCAATAACTGGGATCACGTCTTATTAAAAAGTTTCTCCACATCAAAAGAAATCTCCTGCACAGTGAAAAGGAAACCCACAAACTGGGAAAAAATCTTAGTGAACTGTCCCTCAGACAAAGGACTTCTGTCTAAAACATATAAAGAATTTAAAAATATCAGACTCCCAAAATTCAAAGATCCAATCCAAAAATGGGCATCTAGGGCTCGGGATTTAGCTCAGTGGCCTAAGTACCTGCCTTGCAAGCAGGTGGTCATGAGTTCAATCCCCAGTACCGATAAAGAAAAAAAAAAAAAAAAAAAACCAAAAATGGGCGTCTGAAATGAATACACACTTCTCAGACGAAGAAATACAAATGGCAAATAAATACATGAAAATAATGTTCATCATCATTACTCATTAAAGAAATGCAAATTAAAACCACACTGAGATTTCATCTCACTCCAGAAAGAATGGCCGGGATCAACAAAACCAACAACAAAAAATGCTGGAGAGGCTGTGGGGAAAAAGGAACTCTTCTGGACTGTTGGTGGGAATGTAGGCGGGTGCAACCATTTTGGAGGCCAGTCTGGAGATTTCTCTAAAAGCTGGGATTGGAAGTCCCATTTGTTCCAGCTATTCCACTTCTAGGCGTATTCCCAGAAGAACTGAAAGCATCATACCACAGAGATGTATGTGCACCCATGTTTATAGCAGCACAATTTGTAAAAGCCAGATCTTGGAAACAACCTAAGTGTCCATCAACTGAGGAATGAATAAAAAACTTGTGGTATTTTTATACAATGGAGTACTACTCAGCTATAAAGAAGGGTCACATTGAGATATTTATAAAGAATTGGGCGCAGCTTGAGACCATACTCATAAGTGAAATAATGAAACTCACATGTATGAATACCAAATAGTTTCCCTAGGGTAAGAAATGATATAAACACATAAAAGTTGTGGTAATCATGATTCCCCGTTATTTGAAGCCTTATAAAGTTTTCACTCATCAATTGGAATGGTTTCGTTCTGGGCTGTTGGATTTTATTCTCTGTGATGATATGAACAGATATTTTGAAGAAAACAAGACATCATAATAGCTGATTTAATAGTGCTGATTTAATATCATCTTGTTTTGAAGTCCCATCAAACTGTTGTTCTTCTGTCTCCTGGTTTTATCATGTTGTATCTTATTGGATTTTATTATATGTGATAGTATAAACAAAATTTTTATAGGCAAAGAGATAATGTAGAAAACATTGTTTGTTTTCTTTTAGCTGATTCTAAATGTCTTATAATACTTTCATCCTCCTGAATGGTTTCACACTGTCTTTGTATGTTTGATGCTATAGTTTACAAAGTTATACTCAAATATTTCAAAGAAAGAGACACTGTGGTAATTACAATTAAGTTGGGTTATCTTGTGGTAAAACACTATGTTGCTTAAATGGTTCTGATCTGACCTTTATTGTTATGTTGTTATGTCCTCTTTTATCTCAATCTCCCTCTTTTTAAAATTATTTATTTTTTATGATTTTTAAGAGAAAAATAAAATAGCAGGATATATTATAGTAACCATTTTGATTTCCTATTAACTTGATTTGAACCGTGTATTGCTCTCACCATCTTGCTTTGACTTGTTTTACTCTATTCTGTTCTGTTTGATAGTATCAAGTTTGAGGGTATAGCAACTGCTTTGAAGGCAATAAGATTCACCATGATGCTCATTCTGGTTTGACTATTATCTTCTTTTGAAGTCTGGAAGGTCTCCAATGTTTCGGTTTTATTGGTTTTGTTCTCTACTGTTTTGTTCAATTTTATTATACCTGATGATATAGGCAATTCTTTTTAAGGTAGCAAGAGGCATTATGGTAACCATTGTTGATTACCTTGTATTCTGTTTTTACATCATGTGCTATGTCTATCCTTTGTTTTGACTGACTCTGCTTTATTCTGTCACATTTGGTTTTATTCTCTTCAAAAAAAAGTAATAATAACTGTGGGAGTAATAAAACCCAAAATATGTAATTGTTATTGTAAAAAGGAGAGGAAATGAAAGTGCTCTAAAGGATTCAACTGCAAGTGTGTTTAGGTGTGTAAGATAGATGAACATATTACTAAGTTTTTGTTGAATCACTGCAGTCTCACTGTTTGAATGTCCACTTTTTATGCTTTAGTTTTGTAACTTGAACAACTATTTCTAAGATGACAATATGTAATCTATTAACTAGTGATTTCTTACTGTTTATTTTTTTTGAAATTCTTAATTACTTGTACCCTTTCACTGTCTTGTTTTTTTATTCTTTAAATAAAATTTTTAAAAAGAACATTTATAAGTAAACCGATGCAGCTTGAGACCATACTCATAAGTGCAATGACCGTGCACTTGCAAGGCAGGTGCTTATGCCGCTGAGCTAACTCCCCTGCACTGGAGTTTATTATGTGTGGTAGTATAAACAAAATTTTTATGGACAAGGAGATAATATAGTAACCTTTGTTTGTTTCCTGTTAGTTGGTTCTGAGTATCCTATAACACTTTCATTCCCTTGAATGGTTTTACACCGTCTTATGTTTGATACTATAGTGTATGACAGTACACTCAAATATTTCAAGAAAAGAGACATTGTGGTAGCTACTGTTATGTCAGGTTGTCTTGTGGTGAAACACTACGTTGTGTTCTGTTCTGACCTATTTTGTTATGTTCTCTTTTATCTTAATCTGTTTTTTAAAATAAAAAAAAAAGCACCAGACTCTCTGTTTCCTCTCCCAGCCCCTCTAATGTGCCCCTCGCCCACTCCCCTCTCTGGCTCAGCAGCTCCTGGCCTGCCCTCTTTCCCACTGTCCTGCCCTCCTGTACCCTCATATAAACAGAATCACACAGGGCACACACGATTGGTCTGGTTTCCTCCCCTAGCGGGATGATTTGAGTTTCATCCACATCGGTGCAGAGGCATCAGCAGCTGATACTTTCTGTTGCTCAGCTGTGTTCCACGGCGTGGGTGCCCCTCAGGTAATTTACCTGCTCTCCACTGAAGGACATTTGTGTTGGCAAGTGTGGCTTTTACTTGTTGAATGATATTGTACCCTACAGACAGCCCAAGGCTTAGCAAGCACAGCTAAGCAGTTCCAGTCAGTGTGTAAATGTTACTGGACATTTGGATTGCCCCTATTATAAGTAGCCTCTCAGTAAATCTCTTTCTATGTAAATATTTACGTATCTGATATATGTATATTACAGGGTACATAGATCTCAAGTATCTATAAGCCTGCATCCTGCACTCATGGAGATTTAGAAAAATTCTGAAAATAAAAATACTGTTCTACTAGAATTTTCTAAATATTGTTTTATAAGATTATGCAACCATCAGGGATCATGAAACTTGGTGCCATTATTAAAATAAAGGAATCAAAAATTGCTTTATTTTCAAGGCAGCAGATTCAACCTGCTAAAAAGGATGGGATTAGTCTTGTTACTGGAGTCCTGAGCATGAACCTCACTGAAAAATGACCACATTTCCTCAGGAAGAAACATCTTCAGAGAAGAGGACCAAGTGGCAGGACCTGATGCAGAATGAGAGAAGACTCAGGGCAGGCAGGCGTGGCCACAGCTGTTCAAACAGCAGAGAGGAGCTTCTCCTCACTCTGGAAAACCCCAGGCCACAGCCACTGACAGAAGCAGGACCAGGGCGGTGCTCTGTTCAGGAACTTGAAACGTGGCTCCCCCTCCAATCAGTGCTGCTGACCTGAAAATTAACAGTGAAACAAAAGACATCAGTCCTGCCTGCCATGAGACCCCTGCTTTCCACAGTACACATGCACCCCTTCCAGAAAATGTTAACTAGGGCAGACAGTTATAAAGGGAAAACTAGGTCTCTCAGGATCTGCATTCCTCCTTCCCAGAGAGAATCACCACTGGTAATTTGGGTTGTCCTTCCAGGAAGCAGACAGACAGACACAGCCAGCCAGCCTATCTCTGTCTCTCTGTCTTGTTGTGTCTGTCTCTGTCTCTGTCTCTCTTTCCTCTCTCTCTCTCTCTCTCTCTCTCTCTCTCTCTCTCCCCCCCCCCCCGTCTCTCTGTCTCTCTGTCTCTCTCTCTGTCTCTCTGTCTCTCTGTCTCTCTGTCTGTCTCCCCCCCCCCTCCCTTTCTTTCTCAGCACGGGGAATCTGCAGTTTGCTTCCTTCACCTAGCCCACTTCTTGGATGGTCAAAAGTCAATGCTGTTCATACCAAAGTCAATCCTGTTCATAGCAGCTGACCTCTGGATTTTTGAAAACAGAAATTATGAATTCTGTAAAATCAATTAAAACATGAATTTTAGAAATCCTGAAACTACCTAGTGTTGGATGGAAAATAAATCTGATGGCACCAGAAGAGTGGCCTTAAGAAATTTCCTATTTGAACATTGCTGGCCCCCTTGCCGGCAGAAAGAACCTTGCCTTCCAATTTGTGTTAGGGCTCCCCCTTCTGGAAATTTTCTATAATTACACTTCTGGTTCAGTTTCTCACAGTCCAGATTCACTAGTTCTGCTTTCAAATGATTAGTGTACGGATAACTTGCCAGGCTTGGGGGTACTGCCCACAATCCCAGCACTCAGGATACTGAGGCAGGAAGATTGTGATGAGCCCGAGGCCAGCATGAATTACACAGAGAGAGCGTCTAAAAAGAAAATAGAAGAGAAACGAACACAAAGAAATACAGTAACCATGAGAGTGCCCTGTGATCTCTTTTCTTCCCTCTGAGAAGTAACGACTGTTAGTGGCTTGGAGTTCGCGTTCTCAGACCTGCTTCTATCATGTACGCCCACTACCACCGACAGATGGAAATGCACAGCTTAGGTTTCCTTTGCTTCCCACGTCCCTGTTCATGCTCTGTGTTTCGCTTCGTCAAATTTTATCTTCATAAGCTTTGCTTGCTGACATGGGTTATACTTGAGGCAGTTTGATGCACCATTTGTAGTTATTCTGGTTTTAATAATTAATTCTTAATATTAAATTTATAAATTCAGACACACCTTTATGTTTAAGTTGTGAATTGTGTCATTCTATTGATGAACCTTCTGCACTCTGACAAGCTTTTCCCACTCGCAGGGACTGAACTCCCAGGTCTTTCCCAGTATACATCACCAGCGTTTCTTAAAATGCACTGTCTTGAGACAAGGTCTTGCTAAATTGCCCACGCTGCACTTGAACTTGTGACCCCTGCCTCAGTTCACCAGAGTATGGGTGTGACAGGGCATCACTGTGCCTGACCCTGACAGCTTTTCATGGTATTTCTCATTTAATTTCCTTGGATATTTATAGCAAAAGTTATTTAAGGTTAAAATATGCAAATTTAAGCTTGATAATATTACATTAATTTTCCACAAATATTTTAGCTGTCTTTAAATAGGCAAAGCTTCCAGGGCTTTTGATGCATGCCGATAATCCCAGAATTTAGAAAGCAGACCAGGAGGATGGTCTGTGAGTTGAGGCCACCCTGGGCTACAAGTGAGTTCAAGGCCAGTCTGTGCAGCACAGTGAGACCTTGCCTCAAAAGATAATGTAAGTAAATAAATAAGCAAAGCCTGCTCAAATATTTGATTCTAGTAAACCTAGCAACTGTGTAAGATTTCATCTTAGTTGTTTTTAATACTCCAAAAATGGCTAAAAGCTATAGTTAAATTATCTGACAAATTTCAACTAAGCCTCCCAGATCTCAAATCAGCTAATACTTGCATGTTCATTCAGATTGTGGGCTGATCCAACCACTATTCTCATATGCTAAATTCTCTAAAGTCTTGCAAATAAATAAATTCAACACCAAAACGCAAGATTGTGCCTACCCTTACCCCACAATTATTAATAATACAGATTGAATTAATGTCAACAGCTGCTTTGATTCTAAACTTTTGCAGACTAAAAATCCTTTGCTCCACTGTGTCTAATTAAATGCAGATAAATGATCCTGCTACTGTAGCGGAGGCGTTTAGGACCACAGGCTTCCAGCCGAGATGAGAGAGCTGACACTTGCCCTGCCCTCTCCCCAGTGACTACTTCAGGAGGAGCAGGGGGCCTGTGTTTTCATATCCTCACAGCCTTGTCAACAGGATTTGGAGCCAATATTACATCAGATAAGCGAGTAAAAATTTTTTAAAACATAGATTATTCTATATTTTCATAGAACCATTGTCTTTGACAGCTACAACATGTTCTGCTTCATGAGTGGATGTTTTTGTGGATTCCTTCACTTGTCACCAGGTATTTAGGCCCAGCCCGGGTCTCCAGTTTATTGTTGAACATCTTTGAGCATGTAAGTTTTATTTATTTCTCCATCATTCCTTTAGGATACCAGAAGTACCCCCAAAGGCTGATACAGTTCAAAGGTTCTGAATACATTCCTAATTCTGATCATCTATTGTCAAATGGTTTTCCCAAAACATATTACCACTTGATAATCCCATCACATATTCAATGATATCATGACAGCTTTATTTATTTATTTATTTATTTATTTATTTATTTATTGCTTTGTTTAGAAACTAAGGTGGAGGGGCTGGGGATTCAGCTCAGCAGCATAAGGGCCTGCCTTGCAAGCGTGTGGTCGTGAGTTCAATCTCCGGTACCAGTAAAAAAAAAAAAGAAACTGAGGTGGAAACTATACCTTACTGGATCTAAAAAGTGAATAAGTAGTTTTGTGTACTTGCTGCTCATGGTTTTGCTTTTGTAAGTTATCTATTAATTTTTATTACCATAAACAATATGAAATGAAAGTGGAGGATACTTGCCAAAGAGTAAAAAACAGTATTTATTCCTCTCATTTAAGGAAATGGCCAAACTGTCAAAAAATAGATCTTCCAACAATCAGTGAAATAAACACTGAAGCAAGAGGAAGAGAAGGGGCAGAGACCCTCCAGGCCTTTACACGCCTTGCTGTGTGTGTCCACGCGGCCTTGGGGGCAGCCAGTGTAGCAAGGGGCACAGGGACTTCAGCTGCCGTTGCTTCCGGTTCTGGTCCCATGTTAGTGAACCTATGGCACACATGCCACATCACAAGGCCACCTCATCCCAGCATCGCCCCAGCTGCCGAGCATCGGATATCAGCGCATGCAGGAAGTAGAGGCACTTTGCTACTTTCTGGTAGATACGTGGTTTGGAGTTGCAGTTTGGACCCTCGGTCTCTGAAGTGTTCACCATCACTGCTATACCCATTCTGGGTGAACTTAAGGATTCCTTAATCTCTCCAAACCTCAGTGTCACTGAGGACCAAGAAGGTGATCCAATGAGGGGAGATGGAAACCACAGAGCACCAGCTGAAAGCCTCACCCAGCTGTACCACCCTCGTCCCCCCCAAGACCAGAGACAAGGCCCCTGGGCTGCATCTCTCTCAGTCAGGAATTCCCCATGGAAGCAGTGGCTGCACATGAGCTGTGCCCAGACAGGCTGAGTGACACCATATGGACCTAAGTGACACCACGGCCAGAGACCACCCACACACCCTGGCCTCGTGAGGCTCCTGGGGCACTGGGAATCTGTCCCCTTGAGTCCCTGAGACAATGTTTACTGTCCTCTTCTCCACCTGAGGAATAGCATAAAATCACAGTGCACTTCACCAGCAGCTATGCATGAAGGAATCTTAGGAAGGACAAGAGGTCTGAGTCAAAACGTTTACTTACGAACTCATGGCACAGTCGGGGTGAGCGCTGTGGTCCACACACATCAAGAGCTTCACTGGGCTACAGAAAGAAAAAAAGGGAGTTTTGTGTTGATTTGACTTGATTTGATTTGATTTGATTTGATTTGATTTGATTTTTGAGACAGACACTCACTCTGTGGTTCAGGCTGCACTTACTATTACATAAACCACGCTGGCCTCAAACTAGTGGTTAACCTCATGCCTCAGCCCCTTGAGTGCTGAAATTACAGGCACGTATTGGCAGCATTAAAGCAATTAAAAAACACATCTAACATTTATGGTGGACCTGAAAGATCTTGGTGATACAAAGTTTGGCTCCTTGAAGAACATATAAAATATTCTTTTTTAAAAGCTGAATGTGGTGGTCCTTGCCTGTAATCTCAGCACTTGAGAGGCTGAGGCAGGAAGATTGCCATAAGTTCAACACCAGCCTGGGTTATATAGAGACACTGTCACACACACACACACACACACACACACACACACACACACAGAAAAAATCAAAATAATAAACCTAGCTACTATTTATTGAGCATTTACTATAATGTGTGCCAAGAAATTTATAGTGATTTGTGGTGTTGGGGGTGGAATCCAGAGCCTTGTGCATGCTAGGGAAGCCATCTCCTACTGACCTGCACTTCCAGCTTGGTAGTAAGAAACTTGATCAAGGATTTCACACAGATCATATCATTCAATCCTACAACCAAATGCAACTGGTTCTATTTTTACCTCCAATTTCCAGTACTGAGAGCTGAACACAGTGACTTGCCCAAGTTCTCACAGTAGAGAACTGGAGAGCCAGGCTTTATCCTTGTAGGTGACTCAAAGCCAGAGGGCCTGTCCTCTCCTGCACAAATGTATTATAACAGAAAATGCCCCCTGAGGGATGTAAGATGATGTTGGTTTCCTCACAATGTAAACCACCAAAATTCTTCAGTTTCTGTTTTTATGTAGCCCAAGTAACCGGCAGTTTAATTTGGTTTCTCTTACCTCTGACTCTGAAACAGCAGATCACCAAGATGCATGACTGGTCACAGGATGTACATGGTAAGAACCAGTGCCCAATGACAAGCCACCCTGTTTCTGTACTTCTGCTTTGCAACCTCACAAAACCCTCCCTTCCCACACCTTGAGGGCCTGACTTCTTTAGGAACAATGCCAGTCAGGACCACCAGCATAAATAAACCTGATTCTTGCCTCCAAACCTCAGTATCACTCACTTCTTGGTCAGAACTTTGCTGTTACATTTGGTTCTGTGACCAGTAAGGCTGACTGTGCTGGCCATTTGGGTCCCTGACCATATCCCCCACAGAATGAGTGAGGACTCTCCAGCCCATCAAGGAGAAAGGTGTGCCTCCAAAATATTTTTAGTCTCCCAAGGAGACCAGAGAGGACAACCTGTTTGCCATCTGTGGCTTACTAGATCAAAGGGAGAGGCGGACACAGAATCCTGTCCTGCCTTTGGCTAAGGTGAGACCCTGGGGCCACTCCCAAGTCAGGCCTATACCACTGGATGGAGTGACTCAGAACCTCTCACCAGAATAAAGATTCCTCAGACTAAGGATTTCCCTTATTGTTTTAACCTCTGAATGAATGCTGAGTGTGTGTCTGAATGTCATGGATGGGGTATACCATACATCATTCCATTTCTGCAGCTCCACAGCAATGTAACCTGGGACCATGGAGTCTGAATGGGTCTTGACCTGAAGTTTTGGGGATGAATCTAAGAGACATAATGGAGACCCTAGTGATGAGTTTCTCCTTAGTCCAGATGGTCCTAAATTGCCAAAAGACATGCATCCAGGTGGGCACCTGAATGGCCTCTCTCTGAGGGGCATCCGCCCTTTGTCTGTTGCAACTCTGCTCAAGGGCACATCACATATGTGTAGGGAGTCAGCACAGGATCTAATTAGTCAAAGCTTATAATTCTGGAATGTATGCTAAAAATATTTTTTGAGGGCTGCTGAATGAAACCAAATCAATTCCCTGAACCTGAACAAAGACCCATTCTTCCTGAGGATTCTTCCTTGGCAGATGTATCACCCCTTATTGCCCACTGCAGCTGCGGCCAGAACCTCCAGTTTCACTGGGTAGTCCTCCTCCTCTTCCTCCTCCTGCTCCTGATGCCTCTACCTCCAGCCTATTGAACCAGTTTCAGCCAATGGTGCTTCTGCTGCCAGCCCTGGACCAGTTCTTCTGATACTATGGTAGTGTGCCTCTCTATTCCCAACTCTGAAGAATCCAGTCAGTCATTTCCTGTGTTCAGCCACCAAGGCCCCCCTGGAGCCTTCTATTTTAATGTTACCCTTACATGCCTATTCTGTCAGATGGCATCATATAACACCCAGTTGGGATCATTATGAGCAACTCCAATTCTGTTCAACACAGAAATGTTTCCAAATTTTGTGGAGAGAAAAACTGGTTAAAGGGAGAGATAAACTGTCAGGCCTGGAGAATGGGTTGCCAAGGCTTTCCCAAAGGGGCCTTGCCAAAATAACACGCCAGCAAAAAGAAACAAAGCAATCCAGTCAAGTGCTCCTCAAAGGCATCAAAGAGGGGCACAAGCAGCCCATCAATATGTCAAAAGTTACTACTGTTATCCTGAAGCTTGATAAAAGGTCTTTTTAATGAGAGACTCTGCCAAGCTTACAGGGTCTACACGCCTTTTGACCATAAGGCCCCAGAAAATTTACAGATGGGAAATGCAGTCTTCATGCACAAAAAGTAGCTGTATCTACAAGAAAATCTGGTCTGAAAGACAACCTTACCCTCTGTCCAAACACCAATATGCAAGATGTAAGGGCTATAAACACATTTTAAAATGCTCATACAGACTAAAAGATAAAAACTCTCAAAAGCTTCAACCTTGATCAAATAACAGCCTTTTCATCAATCTGACTGGTTCCATCTAGGCCAGACTGGGCTCCCTTCTTCACCTGGATCACTGGGAGCCCACAGTCCATGTCCATATTGAGGCACCAACATATGATTTTTCTGAAATAGAACACTTTGTAGTTAGCTAACCTATTGTCCTTCTGTCAGAAAAAGGCTACCATTACCAGCGCAACTAGGACTCTTCATCACTTTTACCAGGCATAAACTTGCAGCCTAAGAGGACACCTCATTAAACATCGGTTCCTGTATATGTCAGAATGCCCCAACACTTCTGAAAAGAGACTTTTTCTCCAAGGTAGGAGCAACACTCTACTTCACACCAAGCCTACTCAGCCTCCCTTTTCTTTTGTAACCCTGCATTTTCAAAATTTGTCCCAACTCTGACTGTCTTAGTTACTTCTTACTCGTTGCTGAGACAAAATACCTGAAGCCCAAGTTGGGAAAGGAAAGGTTTATTTCTTACAGTTTTTGGAGGTATCAGTCCACACTCAGTTGGCTCCAAGGCAGGCGGGTATGGCTAGGCTGCAGTTCATGGCAGCTGTAAAACAGCAAGCAGGAACTAGTAAAGAGCAAGACACACCTTCTTCCTGCCATTACATCACATTCTGGCTCCACCCCTATATGAGTGGAGCACTGACACCATCAATCCAAGCACTAGACAATGAACCATCGCAAATGCACAATGCAAACTCATGAGGCCTGGGGGCCACAGACATAAACCATGACACTGACTGTTCTCTGAGAAGAAGAAGGATGTCTTCTCAGCCTCAGACAAATAATCACAAACCTGAAATTCTGAAAACTCTCCTCCCAGAGGTATGAGCCAAAGACTCACTGCTGGACCTAATCATCAACCATGCTCCTGTAGTGATTTAATTCAACCCTGCCACAACCCCCACTGCTGTCAGACAATATCCCACATCATAGGGAGCACAAACAGACATCAGACACTAAAGCAGTTCAGGATCCACTATTGGGATCCTGATAAACTGTCACCTTGGAATGTTCCTCTGCTCCTGATGAAGAAACCCAGTGTGAATTAGCAGCCAGTGCAAGATTTTCATGCCATCAACAATGCAACCATCACCTTTCACACTGTAGTTCCCAACCCATACACCATTCTTGAACTGATACTTCAAGATGTCACCTGGTTTACATGTGTACATTTAAAAGATGCCTTCTCGTACTTGTGGGTTGCTCCCATAAGCCAACTGCTCTTTGCCTTTGAATGAAGGTCCCTGAGATAGGAGAAGGCCAACTCCCTTGGATTAAATTGCCACACAGGTTTTGAGAACTCACCTACTACTTTAGGGGTGACTCTCACAAGTTCCTATCATCTTCTCTCTGGGAGAGTCTGTTTCTCTGCCCCTTCCAGTTCAAGACTATCTTTCCTTGAATTTGATCCATAAACCACCTGCTTCTGATTGTGAAACATCATCCTGGGGGAATCTCCATCTGCATCAAACAGTATCCCATGCCACAAAAGACTCAATTAAGAATTAAAAAATATATCCAGAAGCTTCAGAACTACTAGATTTCACTCTTTTGCCTGTAAAGAAACCCAACATGGAATATCATTCAGTTTAGGACCACTGAGCTGTCAGTGTCACCACAGCTGCCCTCTATCCTGCAGCCTAAAACTCTTATACTCTCCTCAGTCTTCTGCCATCTACAGCCTTCTGATACTCCTGCTTGGATCTAAGGATGCCTCTGAAGCTTTTGATTGGCTTCTGTCAGCCAACCCCTCTTCACCTTTAATTGGAAAAGCCCAGTTCAGAACTCAAGTCAACGGATCTGCACTTATGCAAAAACTCTCACCTGATACCTGTGGCAATAAAATCACTCAATCCTGCTATGTACCTACTCACCAGGCTGGGCCCTCCAGACCATGACTGCCTGGCAATAACTGAAGAGCTTTTCTCAGCCAACCAGATGTAAAGAAGAACTCCCTGAGAGAGGCTGAGTACATGCAGTTTATTATTCTGTGATCACTTGGGACAAAGTTCTTATGGCCAAAACCTTCTCTCAGGGATGGGCTTCACAGTGAACTAAACTATGAGACCTCATACAAGCACTCAATTCATCTGAAAATGGAAAGATGGACTGCTTCCTGCTGTTGTCTGGAAACTCACTGTTAAAGGAGCACCCTGGCATGAAAATATCATACAAGTAAGCCTAGAACTTCTAATGGACATCCTGCCTGACACTGTGATGGTAATCAAAACTCAATTTCCTGTTTATACAAAATAAAAAGATGACTAACCAAAACAACAGAGAGCCACAAATGGACTCATACCCTGTTTTCCCACAAAGGTGGCCTACGCCTGGGTTCAAAGTCACCACAATCTAACTCATAAATGAAAAGTAGACGTGAGAGAGCTCCTGGGTTCCTACTATTGCATCTCATGCCTGATCAGAATCTATTCCTCTGTCTAGCAACTATTCTAAATCTGTGCTCAAAATAAACCAATCCAGAAGACTAAGTCCCCTCTCCAAGGATCCAACAAACTGAAATGTCTCTCTTTGAAGATATACAAATAGACACTACTGAATGAAAGCTTTATGAGGTGACTGATATCTATTGGTGCTTATATATACCTACTCAGGCTGGCCCAAGAAATTCCCTATGGAAACCAAAAGTTTATAGGGCCCTGCTGCAAGAAACCATTCATAGATATGGCCTCTGCTTGACCTTTGGCAAACACAATGGGCCTACATTTGTGGAAACTCAGACTAGCAGAACTATTAAAGATTAAATGAAAACTACCTACAGCACACAGGCAACAAACTCTATAAAAGCTGAGGAAATAAACAGAACTTTAAAGTAAATTCATACCAAATATCACCAGGAAACACACATCCCATGGGTTGACTTACTCTCCAGGGTGTTATTCAGCATGAAAAGTTCAACCAAATGCACTAGATACACACCCTTAGAAATCTTATATGGAAGACCACCACCTATTATCTTCCATGGAGACTCCTGCTGATTAAGTAACATAATCCTACAGGGACAGCCTGTGCAATTAGAAAAGACCTTGAAGGCTCCATAAATATTTAACTAAAAGAACCTGCAGACACCTCTACACACACATATAACAAAGACAACATGATATGGATCAAAAATTGAAAAAAGGAATTTCTATAACCTACATGGAAGAGACCATACATGGTCATACTAACTACCTCTGCAGCTCTTAAAATTTGAGAAATTCAGCCTTAGATCCAATATTCCAGAGGTAAAAGGGCCCAGCCAGACAACTGCTGGAGAATCTATCCAGACTAGACAGCTCCTCTGGAGCTCACTCTGAACAAACAATGCACTCAAAGCCCTACTCTGGTAACTCCAGAGGCTGACCAATCTATGCATGACTGAACCTCAAGGACACTGTTCATGGGAATGTTCCATAGGTGAATGTGTGACTTTCCCTTGATTTTTGCAGCTTTTCAAATTTCTTACCCCAATCCTTGCTTCCACTTCAGCTTATAAATATACCTGATATTATATTGTCAAACTTGGATTTTGTTTCCCATTCTTCTGCTGGCTGTGACCTTTGCCTTAGCTCTGCAGATAGTTACCCCAAGAGAATAGCAGCAATTCAATACAGTCCTCCTTATTCTACAGTTAGCTGAGCAAACTGACCAAGATGTGACAAGTTTCCAAGGTGCACTGGACATACTCCAGGGTCAGATTAACTCTTGCCAAAATAATGTTACAGAACTGACAGGCCCTTGATTTATAGATGGTCACTTGAGAGAGACTAGAAAAGAGCATAGGAAAGACAAGCCACATACTCCTGGTGAGAAACTTTCCAATGTTGAGAATCTTGGTTAGGACCCATCCTAGGATCACTGACAGCCATAAAGCTACTACTCCTAGTTGAGCCTTATGCACTTAATTAGCTTACTTGGTTTATCTCAATTCATATAAACTCTATCAAATTCCAAAAGGCAAAGATTTGCAGGGGTACTGAAGAGGGGGAAATAAAATAGAAAATGCTCCCCTCCCAGGATATAGGATGATGCTGGTACCCTGATGCTATAAACTGGCAGTATGCTTCTGTTTTTGTTTTTCTGTTGCCCAAGTAACCTCCAGTTTAACTCAGGTTGTGTTACTTCTATCTCAGAGAAACAGCTGATCACTGTGATGCAGGGCTGTCCCTATGATACACATTGTAAGAACCAGTTCCCTACTGACAAGCCACCCTTCTTCTGTCCAAGAAATAGGAAGGGCCACACATGATGCCTGAGTGTAAGGATACAAAGGGCTTGCTCATAACACCCTCAAGAAATGCCTGCCTGATAAACATAAGGTCCTGAGTTCAATTCCCAGTACAAAAAAGGAAAAAGAAATGGAGCTATTATGAACTTACTGGTTTATGGTCTCGTTGCATCTGTCTGTATTCTACCAAACTCACACTTTATGCCTGTTATAGAAGAGGACCCCACAGGGATCCAGAGACTCAAGAAACACATTTCTGTTCCTTGGTTACTCTACAGTAAGCAAAGGGAGGAGAAAACAATTTGGACAAACAATAAAGTGTTCTGTCTTGAACTGTCATTAAAATTGACTCTGAAGTGGGCTGGGCCCAGGACGAAGCTCTGGCTTCGTGGAAATGGAACCAGAATCTCCTCCTTGCCAACTCTTCTGGAGGCAACAAGGAGGCTTGAGCTCATGGGCTCTGCAACTGCTGCCCAGCAAAATGACTTCAAACTCCATCATCACCCTGCCCCTGAGTGCACCCTGGTCACGTGCAGGGTCACCTACTGGTGGTCATTAACACAGCGGTACTGGAACCCCATGGCCTTCAATCTCTCCTCCAGGATCTTCACGCTGCCCTCACCACAGGACTCCCTAAAAGAGAAAAACAAGTTATCAGCAGTGAATAAACAAAAGGAGGAGAAGAGGACAAGGGAGAAGAAGAGGCTGACTCCAAGCTGAACGTTTCTGTAGAACACCTCTTAGAGGCAACCTGGGAAAGTCTCTGGTCCAAAAAGTACAGTTTCCAGTGAATGCGCAGCGTCTGAGAGGGGGCGCTCTGAAGACACAACACCAGGGGTGAGGCTGAGCTGCTGGAGTCCAGGGAACATTACCCAGAACCTACAATGAATCCTGTGTAAGGGTAAGAAACTGCTCACAGATCAAAAGTAATTAGAATAAGGGAAAGGAGGGAAGAAGGAAAAGAAAAGGAAAAGACATAAATTTTTGCTTATATATGATAGCTAAACTGACTATGCTACGCATTGTATTCGTTATTAGAAAAGAACAGTTAATACTCCTCTGTTTAGATCAATTTTACATGCCTATATCTGTTAATCTAAGCAACATTCCTAAAGGTAACATTCCCCACCCAGAAACATGGGCCGGTGGTGTAGCCCAGGGGCTGCATGAATAAGGCTGTGACCTACAGTGAATTAACAACCTGCAGTGAATTAAAAACCAGTACACCTTCTGGGTACTGGAAAATAGAGGAAAAGCAGCACTTACTCCAAATCTCCCATCCCACATCCCTAGAGAGAGCTGCTGCCAACACTCACATGCACCGTAGCACACACTTATCCACGCTTTTACTATCCTGATTTTTGTTATCCATAGTTAACTCTGGCCCAAAAATTATTAAGGGGGAAATTCCCAGAATAAATGATTCATGGGTTTGAGATTGCCCAGCATTCTGAGTAGCAGGATGAAACCTCTCCCTCACTGTCCTCTTCCACAGGACATGGATCATCCCCTGGTCTATCATTGAACCCACCACTGTCCATGATTCCTGTTTCTTAGTCACTTAATGGCCACTTTGATGACCAGATGGACTGTTAGAGATAGCAGTCCTTGAGTGTCAATAATCTTCTTGCGGTCAATAATGGTCACGAAGCACAACACTAGCAATTTCATTCATTTTGGTGTTTTGTTTTGTTTTGTTTTGTTGTTTGGTAACTGGAATCAAACTCAGGATATTGTGCTGGCCAAGCAGCTGCTGGACCACTGAGCTACATCCCTGGCGCTGTGATTTCATTTCAGTTACTTTTTTCTCATAAGAGTAGCTAACATCTATTTAGCAATAATTCCTACCACAACACTATTTTATTGACTATGAGCTCCTGTTATTCCTAAAATCTGAGCAGCCCAACACCCCTACCTTTTTGGCTCATGACCTGCAACTCTGTTTAACCTGTGGATTAAACTTCCAAGCGGGTATTCTGACCTGTTGCGTAAATTCTCCCTCAGCAGACATGATGAACTGCGATAATGAAAAATTGCAATTTCTTACTGGTCACTGCAGGTAATGTCAAAGATCAAACTTTCTCTAATAGACACATTTTTAAAAAATAGGAAAGCCTAACTTCTATTCCAAGAACAGTTTCTCCCAAAAAGTAAGAACACCACCGTGGATTTCTCACACATAAGTATTATTTGTCTTCAGGAAGGGGAAATGCTAATCTTAGTAGAACTTGAGTAATATGCAGTTTTCACATTCACTGCAGTCCATTGTCCAAGAGCTAAAGGAAAATAACACCCATGATATGGTGAGTCACAGAGGAGGCAGGGAACAGATATGCTGGCTTCTCTAGGGACACATATGTAATGGCACATATGCTCCTGGGTTTGGGCAATTCTCTCCTCCATGTAGCATCATCAGTGCTCTGAAGACCACGGCCTCAGCTTGCAGCCAGAGCCCCACTTCGGCTCCTTCAGGCCATGGTCTCATTGAACATTTCTGAACCAAATAGATTTAACTTATCTGGTCTTTCATTTGTGCCTGAAATGCCCTTTATGGGAGAGACACATGAGTTCAGCTTGCACTTATACATAAACTCAAGAAGTTTTGCAGAAAGATACAAATCTTAAAACTTTCTTCCCCAGGTTATCTGAGACCCAGTGGTGTGGTTGATTATTCAGTGAGAATAAAACCTTCATCATGGAGTCTTTGAGCGGATTCTAAAGAGCCTGATAAGGGTTTTTGGGTTTCAAATGACCAAAAAGAGGAACTGGCTTTGAACCTCACATATGCACAAGGAACTTGCCTATCCAAAGCTGCCCAAGTCACTCAGAAACAAACCCTGCACTCCCTGGCAGGATAAAGGAGGTTTTTCCTCTGGGATCAAAACTGCCTAGTGGCACTCCCAGAATGCTAGGCCTGTGGCCCTCATTATCAACCCCACCAGAAATAGAAGATTGGCGTTTTCCCCAAACTGAAAGTGGAAAGTGGACATAACTATACCATATCCAAGAAAAACATGATCATCCTTATGGATGGCACCAAGACTTACACATTAGGTCCCTCAATATCATGCATGACCCAGATTTCAATTTGTGTGACTTTATCCTTCTGCAGGTATGGAATTTCAAAATCTGCAAAAAAACTGAGAGACAAAGGGAGTCATTTTTGTTTTTGCCCTTTGCAGTGCATCCCCAGGCCCCAGCCTGGAAAAACATTGCTAACAGTTCTAAGCAGTGGAAAACCTATGCCACCCGTTCCCTCTCTGTCACCATGGGAATCAAATCACCCCAGCAGTCAAGCATTAGATTTTCAGGCTTCATTTCAGAGCTGAGACTCTGTGACCAGGGAGTGGGCGTGGGGTCGCAGTACTGGCTCTCGGTCTCCAAAAGTTGGTCATCACTGTTCTATAGCAAGATGATTCTTTCTCTTTTCATTTTTAGTTGATTTGCCAGCTGCTTTTCAAAAGGGATTGTTTCCTAACTTTTTTTTCAAGGTACATTTAATTAATATCAGAAGCGTTAGCATGAAAGGCCCAAATCCAATGAAGGAATCCATCCCCATTATCACCAAAGACGATGCTGTTAACAGGTGTCAGTGGGATGGACTGGGGGCCTCCGAAAATAATGCAGCGGTCTCCTCACTGCGGCCCTCACACAACCCAGCTGTGAAATGAACATCCACCCTGCTTCAACAGGTAAGCCTGAAATGTGACAGCATTCCTTCCCCCCTGTGTCATCCCTAGTTCAGATTGCCTCGCTTCTGCAACCATTCGAAGCACAAACCATTGATTAAACCACATTGATTCAGGCACCATTAAGTATCACAGTGCTCTGAGCTAACTGGTTAAATACACCTGCTACAATACCAATATCTGTCACTTCTGTCATGACTAATAAAGGTGCTTACTTGCAAATAAACCCATTGAAGGCGAAATTCCCCTCATTTGAGATACAACCCAGAAACACAACAGTGCTCACGAGGTCCACAGTCTCAGTGGCGAAGCTGATACACGGTGTCCCTAAGTCACTGCGCTCAGTTAATAACAATTGCATACCCCATCTTGACACTGAACTGGGATTTCACGTGCTCAGTTCATGATTGGAAATATTTAGGTTTCAGTCTTCTAAACTGTCTGAAGACACAACAGGACACAGAATCAAGACTTCTGTTCTTCCCTTTATTTTCTTCAAACAGAAACATTCCTCCAGTGTCTACATGTTTCAGAAGGGGAAATTTTCAAAGTTGGCCTGTTCTTCAGAATCATCCGAAGACTCAGGCCTCTGAGGCAAGGGGAGGGGAAAAGAAAAGAGCAGAAACACAGGCTCGTCTGGTAAGGTTACAGGAGCCACTACACGCTGGACAGTACGTGAGTGTATGTATTCTTTCCTCAGAAAGCTGTGTCCCTCCCCAGGTTTCTCCAAGCGCAACTGTCAAAGTCCTGACCAGGGAATATGACTGATTTACCAGTCAGGCAGAAGCTTCCACATTCCTTTCCAGCTTGTTCTGGTTGGTCTTTTGCCTGTTCCAAGTCACCTTTCATGTTTAGGGAACACGTGTTGGCCCTGGGGTTGGCCACTGTGGATTCCAGTGGGGCAGCACTGGCTGCCGGACTCCCTTGAGGTACTAGGCCGCACCGTGCACACCTGTCCCGTGGTGGTGGTCATTTCTGTTTCCCGGCGTCAGACTCTAGCTGTTGGTGCTTTAGCTTTTCCTCACCCTGCCTTGAGCCAGTCACACCATGTAAGATCTGCGTCCTTGGCTCCAAAGCATGAGCAAGGCTTTCTGTTGCATCCATCCTAGGTCCACTGCGCTCTGCCATAACTGTGAGCTCTGTTTCACTCCGTGGAAACTCTCTGGGACCTTTCTGGGAAGAGGTTCTTCGGTGGTCACTTTGAATCTGAGGAGTCACCTCCAGGGTGTGACTAGGCCCCTGGGGACATAGGTGCAGGAGGCTGGGTGACAGATGGGGACCTGAGGCATAAAGGTGCAGCTGAAGTCCTCCAGCGGCCTCAGCCCAGGGCTGGCGTCTGGTAGGGCCCCTTAATTTTTATTTTCAGGTTTCTTTTTCACACATTTATCAGCTACTAATGGTTTAGCTGTATAGACAAGGTGCAATCACCAGGTCCTTCAAGTAAACCTGAATTTACAAAGGCAAGCATTACACTGGGGACTAGGCTAGTTCTCTTTAGCTTCCACTCAGAGCAATTAAATAAATACTTTTTCACCCTCCACTGTATTCACTGGTGCTGAAGTGCTTACCCTTTGATAGGATAGGCTCCTTTTGACTCTGAACCATTCAACATGACATAGATCACCCCAGAACTATCTCTGGAATACTGCAAGAAGAAAGAATCAGAGTCATGTTTTAGCAAGGTAAAAGATGCCTCTTTTTCTGTTAAGAAATGACCTCTTTTTTAGTGACAGTTTTCAACATGGGAAAATATTCAAATGGTTAAGGAGAGAGGAAACTGATGTTTTTTGCAAAGTCAAATGATTTTTTTCTTGTCTTTTTGAGACAGGGTCTTGTTACACAGTTCAGGCCGGCCTCGAGGTCACAGCCCAGGCTGGTCTTGAATTTGCAATGATCCTCCTGCCTCAGCCTCTTGAATGCTGAGATTATAGGCATGTATTACCACACCCAGTAACCCAATTGTTTTCAAATGTTAAAAATTCATTTACTCAGTAATTCATGTCTCAGATTCTAATTAAAAGATACTGTGAACTACACAACATGGTATCACTAGAGTGAACTAGGTCAAGCTGCCACAGCAAAAGCCTCAAACTCTCAATGACTTTAAACAGAGCCTTCAGCATGCACTGCCTGTTTACCACATGCTCACTGGGGTCTTGCTCAATGAGTTTTCCTCAGGGGCCAAGCTGGGGAAGTTTCCACATCTGTAAAGTCATCATCATCAGCAAAGAACGTGATGAATCACTGACCAGTTCTGAACAGTTTCCACCCAGGAGTCACAGTGCCTGCCTCTCAGATATCACTGGTGGTGTAAGTTGCATGTAATTAGCAAGCCATGGGCGCAGCCGAATGCTTGGTAAAGAGCACTAAGAGTCACCTCAAGCACTGTGCACCAAGATGTGTATTGCAGCATTGTAATTAATACCAAAATATAATAACCAATTTAAAACAACCACAGGGTACTTACATGTCTGAAATAGTAATCATCCATTAGCAAAATTCTATGCAGTATCTGCAGCAGCACAGAAGCGTTTGCCTTCCAAGCAAAATGCAAGACCAGATGGGCAGAGTACAGGCTCTACTAGGTTAAAAATAGCAGCACGGGGATGTAGCTACTTAGTACAGCACTTGCTAGCATGGGCAAAGCCTCAGGTTTGACCCCTAGCATCATAAAATAAGCAAATAAATAAGCAAAATTCTAGAAACTCCCAAGAAAGTGAGTGCTGAAGAAATCACCAGTTTGGAATACTAATGGAGCATATAATTTCCCTCCTAAAATTTTATACCAGAATAAAGGCCAGATGAGAGTGCTCTAGGATCACTGGGCTATACAGTGCTGGGTTTGCTCTATAGAAAAGTGATGCCCAATATTAGCTGCACCAAAACAATGGTGCCATCCACGTCTCATTGTTTCCAGATAGTACAAACAAAATTAAATCCTCAGTGCAGAGGTCTGAGGAGAATGCTAAAAGGCTTGTGGTAAGGGGGCGGCAGGAGCGTGCATGAGTGTCACTTATATTTTCCGTAATTTGTCATTCTCTGGCATGAAAAGTCATTGTATTTTCTTTACTATGTCATGAAGAACACTTTTAAAATAACTTAACAGTAGCTAGGTAGGGCAACGCACATCTGTAATCACTCTGTAGCTGAAGCAGGAACATTGCCACGAGTTGGAGGCCAGACTGGGCTACATACAGAGTTCAACGCCAGCCTGAACTACACAGCAAGACTCTGTATCCAAAAAAATTCAATTTTTGGACTTAAGCAGTAGAGCTATTACCTACCATGAATATCTTGTGTTGGTTCTCAAACCATACACACAAAAAATACTAATAACTTAATATAAAATGAATACTTACCTGCTAAGGTCCAAGCCCTCCACCCACTGCAGACATATCTTTTTCATGCCTACACTCCCCAGCATATTCTAAGGCCTCACAAACTCAAACTCTGTGGGTCCTGTTCTTAGTTCCCATTGTAGCAGCGGGGGAAGTGTAAGGAGGCAACATGACATCCGGCACAGCGCCTAAGGAGAACTGTGGCTTCTTCACACATAGCATTGCTATGTCCCCTGGGTTTATATCATGATCCCACCATCAGGAGATGACACAGCCATGGGCCCCCAGCCCTGTGGGAGAGGCTCTGGCACCTGCCACGGTGCCTGGCAGGAACCCACACTCCGGCGACACCCAAGAAAGTGGGGCTGCCAGGAGAGCACAGCCCACAGCACAATGCCTCCTGACTCGAGGGGACCCTGTGCTTAGCTCCCACCTCCAGCCACAGTCTAGGGTTTAGCCAAGTCCTTTACCCTGACTAGCGATTGACCCAGGGTGCACCCCAGATCACCAAAGAAGATGGCACCAAAGGGATACGATACTCCTGACGGGGTGGGGAGGGAGCACGCTGGAGCCCACCAAGTGTCCATCTGCCTCCTGGTCAGCACACTGGATGCTTCGTCCTCAGCAGCCAAGCACTGAGCTAAGGATCCAGCTCTCTTTATTTCCAATCTTTACTTAGTCATGGCATTTTACAGCCCTTGAGAACTGTCACTCTGGTGACATTTCCTACGAAACAGATCTATCTTAAAGGGCCTATTTCTCAGTCTTTAGCCTGGCCATCGCCTCCTTCCGTCTCCTCTTCCACTAACTTAAGTTCATGAACATTCCTGACCCATATGTCTAGATACTACATATTCTGGGGTCTTTCCTGAGGCAAGGATTACCCAATTTTACATAGCAACTAAAAAATCACATGAATTTAATAGTAATAAACAACCACGACATAACAGAAATAATGACTATATAATGTCCTTATCTCTAGGTAACATTTACTGGATGCTTTTTCTGTGTCAGACACTGCACTAACCTTTACTTTGTTAGCTAGGCGCGGTGGTACATGTGTGCTACTCCAGTACACAGTGGGTTTGAGGCTGGAGGATTGCTGGACTGAGTTTACTCACAGGAATGTAGCAAGTTCAAAGCCAGTCTGGAGATATCAGGAGACCCTGTTCCCCACCCAAAAGAAAAGAAAAAGATGAAAAGGAGTGTGTGCGTGTGTGTGTGTGTGTGTGTGTGTGTGTGTGTATTCTTTTCTTGAATTCTCCCAACTTTATGGAGCAGCGAGAATGGATTAGGATGCTGCAGAAGTGAAAAGTGAGACTCAGAGGAGTTAAGCAGTGGCCTGGGATCCCGGCTCTGAGCCCTGCTCCGTCTTCACAGGTCGCATGGTGCTCAGCCACTGCAGCTTACCTGCATGGATGCCCTTTTCCAGTAGGAATCCACAGCATTATTTTCACAGTCTTCTGACGTAGGGCAGGATTGGTAATCAAGTCCTACAAATAAAGTAGACAAACATATTTCTTGTCAAAGATTGCACAGCAAAGAATGAATCTTTAACATTAGCTGGATCCAGGTTAGCCTGCATCCTGCACAATGTGTACGGATCATTAACCCTTCCCCAGCCTCAGGCTCCCACAGTGGAAACTGAGAGCAGGAAGGCAGATCAGTGCCAGCAGAGACTCAGCCTCTGGAGGCTGCTACCTTACTCTGCTGCTGTTTAAAACCTCATTTCTCTATATGCTAAAGTGGGGACTTTTTTCTAGCTAATGTTTCCTTCTTATTGGCACAGGTTAGCGGTACATAATTAAGTTACTTATGAAGAGAAATTGCATGTACCTAACACATCTTCATTCTTTTTTCTTTTCATCCCTTTCTCCTATCCTCCCACCCATCCTACCATCTCTTGGTGCCCTTCCATGAGACTTCCTTGGTCTATTGCAAGAATTAAGTGAGTTAATATGCATAAGGTGCCTAGACTAGTACCTAACAAAAGATAAGTGGTCTCTACCTACTAACCGTGTTGGATTAATATCAGAGAGTTTGGGAGGAAACCAATGAGATAAACACATATGAAAATTCCCAGTACAAATGGCAAATGCATGGTTGTAAGGGCTCTTGCTTTTTCATGGGATGTGCAGGAGTCTTACCAGAGGCATTTTCCTGGCGACACCAGCTTAAAAAATCTCCAAGCCGACCATACAGAACATCACACAGCGGCATAAAGCGCCGCGCATTCTCTGAATAGCTGGTAACGAGGAGATGGTTATTTTCCCAGAACAGGGACTGAGGGGAAAGAAAATGAAATATCAAGGTAAAATCAAGCCAGACTACTTAGGCACAGTATCATCAAGACAAGTCAGGCTGCCCTTTGCTCATTCAATGCTGGCTTGCTGCAGAACGACACACTTTCTCTTTTGTTATCTTTCTGTACCACTAGAAGACCACTACTGTCTCTCCTCCCTTTATTCCAAGGGTACCATGTAAAGGTTAATTAACTCTTTTCCCAGTAGCGCAAAATCCTTTAGTCCATGTGGTAAAATCTTTGACTTAAAAAAAGATGAAAGAGCTCAGAGTTGCAGTGCACATATCTAATTCTGGTTACACTGGAGGCTGAGGCAGGAACATGAGAAGTTCAAGGCCAAGAAGGAAAAAAAATCATGGGACTTGGGTTAGAGTCTTGGAATCCTGGTTCTGTTGTACACTACATGTGTGTTCTTGAGCAAGACATGGCATGAAATTCTCCGACTCTTGGTTTCCACATTTGGAAATTGGAGAGCATGTGCCTTTTTTCCTCACCTACAGCTATAATTAAGATGCTATGCAACCTCAGAGAGCATTTCCTGGAATGTAAAGTCCCTCAAAAAATGTTGTTTTTCTAGTCCACCATTAACAATGTCTTCATAAACTGTACACATGAAAGCATTCCCTGCCCACTGGATCACCTGACACCTAGTCATTGGATCTACCTAGTCATTGGGCTCCATGCAGACTGGACAGTCTTCAAGGAGAAGCTGGTTTTCACTGTTACATCCTTTCCCCTTAGCACAATCCCTGGCACACAGAAACAGCCAGGAAGTATTTACTGAGCTAATCAGTAAGCCTACAAAATCTCCCAGAGAGGAAAGCAAACATGATGCTTCCCGAACCTTTTACCAAAAGGGAGGCACTGAGGTTCAAAATATAAATGAATCCCTCAAAACCACGTTTATGATCTATTTCACTCTACGCTCCACGGCTCCAATTATTTGCCTTGATACCTAACACACAATGGAAAAATCAGGTTAAGACTGATTGTGTTAGAGAAATAAAAATGGTATCTGTCTTCAGAGCCAAGGTATGATTCTAAGCAAGCATTTTACGTAGATCTCCTCATTTATTTTTATTTATTAAACCTGAGAGCCCAGATAGACTAGAGACCTGTGGTTTTCTTAGAGAAACTAGGACTGAATAAACACAATAGCGAGGACCACTTGCAGAAGCAATGTCTCCTGAAAGAACGACACCAAGGGTTTTGTGAATCATTAGAGCTTGGGCTCCAGGGCCAGTTAGGATAGAGGTCATTCAGAACTGGCCAGATGTGGAGCCCGGTGTGAGAGTTCTGGCTAGATCCCGAAGTCTTTGTGGAGATTTCTGTACTGACTTGCTGACTCAGGAAAGCACTTTTGGTCCACAGGTGGCCAGCAGACCCAGAATCTCTGCTAGAAACAAAACTGCCTCGGCACCAGCAAGTATAGTACCATGCCATATCCCAGTGTATCACCTGGTGTTTCTTCAGCTCTGCAGGCTGCTGGGGGCAGCTGACCCCACTCCTTGCCTGTGCACCCTCTGTCAGATAAAGAAAGAGGGCAGTGATTTATCTGAGATGGCTGTGATTACCTTGTCTCTGGGAATGGAGTGCCGAGACAGGTTAATGAAAAGGTCATAGTCCGAGGGGAGCACAGAACAGGGATCTTTGTCCAGCACCACTTTAAAGGCTTCCCAGATGGCTGTGCAGTTCCTGTCCCTGTGTAGAAGTACAGGTCAAAAATAAAACAAAAGACATCACCATATGCTGTGAAATATTTCCATTTCTTTAAAGGTTCTGCAAGCGATTCTGTCACATGCTGACTGCAGGACCACTCACATGAAAAAGCCAACACACGGTTCAAGCAGCAGATGGAGAAACCAGGCACTGGCAGTGTCTCTCAGAGGCACTGCATGGATTTCTCCAAGTTAGGGATATAGTTTTGCCCCAAGGTCACAGTGGGAAAGGTTACAGACTAGAAGGTGATGATGTTAATAAGCCACACAGCCTCAAGGAATCTTTTTCAGTCCCTTTTCATTGCTGAGGATGGAACTCAGGGCTGCACACATCCTCACATCCCCAGCTCTTGTTCTTTATTAAGGCACAAAAGCGGGGCCAGGCTTATTATCCAGGTCCATCTGGGCTCAGGGCTGGGCGGGACCAGAACAAAAGACAGCAAAACCCAAAGCCAGCACCAGCAATCTGGGCCAGGCTTTGCCTCCCAATGTAGGGAAAGCAGGCCCTGCCCTGACAGAGCCTCCAGCTCCGCTTTTAAGAGCACTTCCCGAAACTGTGGTCCTGTTTCCTTTCTACACTGGGTGGAGCAATATTGATGTTCCTTATTCTAGCCTCTTTTTTTATTTGTCTGAAATGAGTCACAATAAAAACAACTGGCACCTGAAAAGGATATTATGAAAATGGAAAAAGAGAAAGGGTTCCCAAGAAGAAAGAAAAATCAGTAAGCAGCACGGCGCTGGTTAGAAAGAGGAACACTTGAGAGTTGTTCCAACGATGGGATCTGAAATTCCTGAAGCGCCTGGACTGGAGATTCTGGCTGCAGACTGAATACTGGGGTCTGAGGTCCAGCTTAGGGGGTCATTCACACTCGTCTCTCCAGCTGTGGCTTCTAGACTGACATTTTCCAACTATATACTCACATACTGACATCTCACCTCTGGACCACACAGTGCACCTCACCTGGAGACCCCGAGACACACACACACACACACACACACACACACACACACACACACACACTCATACACACACTCACAGAGCCTCGATTGCAGCTCCTCTGCTCACCTAACCCGCCCTCCTTTAGCCCCTGTCTCCCTCTCCACCCCTGCCGCTCCTCACCCCAGCTGTGGGCTCAGCAGCGTGATGTACTCGGCGCAGCGGCCCAGGAAGATGCTCCGCAGCTGCGGGCTGGTACCCTCCCCGCTCCACCGGGCGCCCGCCGCCAGCTCCAGAGACAGCAGCGACAGCAGCGCGAGCAGCCGCAGCCCTGCGGCCGCGCATTCCCACGCCACCGCCATGGAGCAGACTTCGGTACTTGCGGACGCCGCCCACTTCCTCCGTGGCGCGGGCGGTTCCCGGCGCTGGCCCTGGGCCGCCAGCTCTGCCTCCTCCGCTGCATGGCAGGCCCAAGACAGCTGGGAGCATCATCGCCCCAGCAGGACCATGGCTTTTGCATGGTGTCCTCCAGGGTGACACCAAAAAGACTCCAAGTGGCTGGATAGGTGACAGAATTTTATTCTTCCAAAGAAACATGTTTTTCTGGCTCCAAACTGTAACAACTTTTCTTAAGAGCCAATCACAAGTAGCTCTTGTTTTCGGCACACCATAATTCCCAAAACTAATACTTTTTGAGTTGTTGCCCTGCATCAAGCACTGGACTCACCCAGTGCGCGTTTACAGTCACTGTCTCCTGGCTGGGCTTGTAACTGTCTGTCCTCCTTTTAAAGCTAGGTAAACTCAGGACGGAGAGTAAGTCCACAGTGTCACTCACGGATAGATGCAATATCCTGGAGACAATGAGCTTAACACAGTCACCACGGGGCCCCCGTGACGACAGTCCCTTCAGAAAGCTCAGAACACTCCACAGAACCGTCCCATGACACCCGCTGCGACAGTCACTTATAGAGGGCAGGAACACATTTAAATGTCAGAATGAAGGTCTCTCGAATTAGCTCAAATTGATGAAAATATTTGGCACTGCTTTCAAAGAGAAGTGAAGCCTCCACAGAATACCTCCGCAGGCAAAGGCTAAAGAGAAGCGAGGGAAATGTGAGTGGCTTGCTGCACAACCGCATCTTAGTCTTAGTTCGAGTCTGCCTTGCAAAGGGAAGGCCCAGTATCAAGAGCAAAGCGCAAAGCCGGAGCAGATGCACACAGGGAGAAGCGGAGGCCGTCTGCCGCATGGAAGTCCCAGCTTCACCCATGAGGAGGAACCTCATGTGCAGGAGGTCACCCAGAGCCCTTCCCCATTCCTCGGTGGCTCACCTTGCTTTAGATTTGGCGAGGGTAGGCACTGGGCAGAGCGCGGAGAAGAGGGCACTGACTTCCACGCCCAGGGCTGAGAGCTGAGAAAGAGCCAAGAGCAAGGACTGCAGCATCACCCGGGAGGGCTGAGGAGCGGGCCAGGAGAGGCCAAGAGAGGCTCAAAAGGGCTCGGAGGGACAGGGACCAGAGAGGCAGGGCGAGGCCGACAGCAGGGGACGCCGTGGTGCAGGGCAGGTGCCCAGGAGGAAGGGTGGCAGGAAAGACCAGGAAGGCCCCGAGGGGCACTGTGCACTTTCCTGAGATGTTCAAACAAATGTTCCAAGTGTGACTCGGTGTCTGGTTATTTCTGATAAAATATAAAAGAGAACAAATAGATTGAAGGCAGTATGTAAAAATGGAACCAGGATTTTATGATTTAGGAAAGTCTGTGTACAGACACTCGGTTAAAGCCTGCATTCTATTCCCACAGCTAGGTCATTAAATGAATTAGTTGCTAAATGAGAAATTCTATGTAGTGCATACAATATTCAGAACAAAGAAACAGTCAGAGGATACTCCAGCTTGATGGCTTTGCTGGTATTTGCATGACTGTTTTCTCTGTGTGTGTGTCTGTTTGTTTGGTTTGGTTTGGCTTTTTGAGACAGGATCTTGCCTATATCATTCAGGCTGGCCTTGAACTCATGGAGATCCTCCTGCCTCAGCCTCCCGATTGTGCATAAGTCTTACATACAATACTGTAATGTATAACAGAACATACACTAGTGTTCCATACAGTGCAATCAGCAAAAATTACAGTACTGTATAAAGCGTACTGTACCAAAAAAGATATTGAGGCTCTAGCAACAAGATATAGGGAACTGTAGGAGAAAAAAAGGCAGGTCATCCATCTGACACCGGGTTGTAATTCTGAAGGCACTGAAGAGAAAGGTCACTAAGGGAAGAATGTCTGTATTCTGATTGTAAAAGACGCTGAAGTTAATGATATTGCCAGGTATTCTTCTTTTTAAAAATTCAATTTTTATAAGAATTAAATTGTGATTAAACAGCGAAATGCATCATCATCATTTTTAAATGCATTACAGTGTTTGATCACACAGAGGGATGAGGTATGTGACTCACGGTGTCTTCAGACCGTCTCAGCAGAAGCCAGAAGCAGCTGGCGTTATTAAGGGGAGACCTGCGGAGGAGTTACTCCTCTAACAGTGTGAACCCTGGTTACTCACAAGGCTCCTAAGACTTGAATTAAGAAATGCTGATTAAGCTGGACTAAAGGGACAGAGAGGAAGAAAGGAAAGGCTGTTCAGTTACTGAGACTCTACTGGCAGGAACAGGCTGATGAAACCAGTGAGACGAGGGCTGTGCTGTTAAAAAAAAAAGATGATTCAGAGAGCGGAGCTGTAGAGAGCAGACAGAAACCACCCAACAGTCATTCCCAGGCTCTGAAAGCCGGTGAAGTCCACCCAGGTGGACTTGGAAAGGATGTTGCTTGTGACTCCTGTCTTTTGTTTTCTCCTTTTGAATGAGATTTTCTATTGTTATCCCACACCTGTGTCCCTGTTTTGGAGTGCAGGGCTTGATGTCTCATCCTCCACATCTGCAGCTAATAGTTTTGCTCCAGAATGGAGTGGACAGACAGCCAAACCCACATCTGATCACGGTGATTTATGTATGAGCTTTGTGTCTTTTGAGCTGAGACTTAGGTGAGATTTCGGATGAGCTGATGCCATCATTGTCGAAAAGTTTGGGGGACTGTGGGATGACTGAATGCATTTATCCTGTGGGACAAATGTCTCTGGGAGCCAGAAGGTTGACATGACAGGCTGAATAATTCACTCTCCTCACACACACACACATACCCTCAAGATGTCTACATCCTAATCTTTGAGGGCTGTGAATGTAAGAAAATAGTAAGAGATTCTGCTGAAGCAACACATACGCAGATTCAAAACCTCTGAGTTGGACATAATTTATTAATCACAGCAAAAAGTAGCAGTGAGCATCACTGGGTCACTTCCGTCATGCTCTGTCCCCAGATGATTCAAGGGTCAGATGTTACCCCTGCATACAGCAGGCCATACTTGGAAAATGTGCCCCAATTTTTAAAGACTTGGTTGGGGTTTTCTTGTTATTGTTGTTTTGTTTTCGTTTTGAGACAGGATCTCAAAAACGTGATTACCCACGCTGGCCTCAAACTGTGATCCTCCTAGTTCAGCCTCCCAAGTACCAGTGCTGGGATTAGAGGCAGGCACCACCACACCTGGCGGCCCTTCTGTTTTTATAGAGCATTCATTCCGGGCTGTCAGGGTGACAGAGACAGTAATCAAAGCATAAAATGACTAGAGCGTGTACTGCAAAGAAAACAGAATAGAGAACTTAATTTACCTTAAAGAGATTAAGAAAGACTTCTCTAGGAAAGTAACATTTAATTTAACCTTAAACTCTAAAATAGTTGACAGTCTTTTAACACTTCACTTTTAACACTTCACTCAGTTCTCCTGTGTTTAAACCCTTAGACAAAAAGCTAGAGACCCTATAATGGTCTACAAAGTCTTCCATGATTTAGTCCCCCAAAACGTCTCTGAACTCTCTTCTTATTACTATTTATTTTTACTTATTTTGAGGCAAGGTCTTGCTATGTAGTTCAGCCAGGCATCAAACTTACAGCAACTCTCCTGCCTCAGTCTCCTGAGTGCTGGGATTACAGGTCTTCACCACCACACCTGGCACTACTGATTTATAGTACTTACTATCTTCTAAAGATTTTAAAGTTTATTACGTCTGTGTCTCTCCCCTTACCAAGACATAAACTTCACCAGAAAATAATATTTTTTCTTCACATTTGTATCCCAAATATTTCTAGAATTCCTGACTTCCAACTGATTTTTTTGTTCAATGAACATAAAGTCATTCAATTTCACTAATATTTAAATATAACAAAGGTATCATATGCAATGTTATATTAAGATGTAAATATAGCAGAAAATATTACAAAGTAACATTACAAAATAAGAAGAGAAAGCTAAGGAAGAGTTTATTTAATAAGTGGAGTATGCTTGCCTGTTCATCAATTCATCCCAGTCTGGAACACAAGAAGATAATGCTACTCACACATCTGCTGCACCATTCAATCCATTTCTTTAATTTCAATGGGATTAAGATGGAAAACCGCAGTTCACACCAACTACTTGCTGTGAATGGCCAAGATAATCTATGTAGAAAGAAAAATCTTCCTTCACCTTAATCCGAAATGCTGATAATTTTTCATAGTCCTTCTTCAATGTTTATGAGGAACTGAGCTGTGGTAATTCAGTCTCTTCTTCAGATAGTAAGTTTAACTCAATAGTCGGTTCAGGGCTTTGAAAAGCAAAGGGATCTTTTACCCAATTGTTTTCCTTTAATGTTTCAAATTTCTCTTTTGGAAAAAACATGGTTAAAAGTTTGAAACAGAGAAGCCAGACGCAACATCATCTCTGATTTCCTTGCTTTCAAATGTCTTTACTAATAATATTCTTCCAACATGTTGCAAACCCTCAGAAACAGATAGCAGCTAAGCCCACTACTCTTAAGCCTTGCTTGCCATAACCATGTATTTTGGAATACTTGAACATGTTCGGGATGGAAATATCACTGTCTTTCCCCTGGAGTTCTAAACTCAGATCATTATGAATGCCAACAAATCAGTTAAATTTACCAGTGTCATCTTAAATATCATTCTTAAAAATATTTGCCAAATGAGATTTTTTTATATATATTGGAGATTGAACTCACAACCTTGTGCTTGCCAGGCAGGTGTTTATGTCACTGAGCTAAATCCTCGGCCCGATATCTTTTCTCCAGTGAGGAATATGTGAACCTCATTTTTGAGTTCATAAACCCTGCCATAGTATTTTTCCTTGAGACAAACAGCAAACTTTGACATGATATAATAAATGGGCATAATTACTTCCCATTTCTGAACAAAATATTTTAAGAAGTTGGCTATTCAATGAGCCTTCTTTAAAAAGATTAACAACTCTTTCCACATTTTTCAATACTTATAGGAGACTGGAGTTTCTCT